CACAGAGACCACACTCCCACAGGCTACGCTGGGCTGTGGGTTGTGCAATCTTGCTCTGAAGGCTGCAGAGACCTAAAGAAATGAGAGGGAGAAAGGGAACCTGAGGCATAGAACAATTCCATATTTATACGATCCATGCCTACTGCTGGCAAACACACAAAGACGCTTAAACCAAGCGACCTGCCCCAGGATCTTTCAACCTGCTTGGGTGGAGCAGAATTATGCATAATTTAGTGCAGTGCTTCTGCGCCCAGTGATGGCCCAAGGAAAACTTCAGAGGCCATCCGCCAGAGGAAGAAGGCATAGCAGGTCCCGGCTGAGTAACAATTAGCAGGGTGGCTGCCAGCCTCCTGGGGATGGGATGGAGACCAGGTTTCAATGCGGAGATCCAGGGAAGGCAGAGGCCCCTTACTGAAAGGAGGAGGTGGTTTGGAGAAAGTGGGCAGCTGGGAACCTGGGAACAAGTCACCTGAAGTTGAGGTGTGATCGCCTCCCTTCCCTTTCTCCTACGTAATTCGGGACAGCCTAGAATTGCATCCAGAATTTCTGGGAAAAAATTAAATCTAACCTTTCCAGCTGGCCCCTTAAGAAAAGGTAGGAAAAGAAAGAAAAAAAAAGGGAGTGAGAGAGAGATAAATTGGCTGTCTAGGAAGGAAAAGGCTGGAACACCAAGACGCACCAAAGAGCTGCTCTCCAAGGTGCAGTATTGTGATTTATAATAATAAATATTTTTTCGTCTTCCACCCATTTCCTGGCACAGAGTTCCTAAAACCCTTCAAATTTCCTGTGATGAGAGCGATAAAGTGTCTTTCGTTATGTTAGAGAGGTAATTTTTGGATCCCAGCTAAGGATGGGGGCTGGCTGCCAGGGGAGCCAACCATGTGATTATTGGTTTGGAACTTTCAGTCCCACCCACCAGGGAGGGGAGAGGGGCTGGTGATTGAGCTCAATCACCAATGGCCAATGATTTAATCAATCATGCCTATGTACTAAAGCCTCCAGAAAAGCCCAAAAGGATGAGTTCAGAGAGCTTCTGGGTTGGTGAACCCAAGGAGGTGCAGGTAGAATGGCGCTGGGAGAGGGCATGGAAGCTCCGTGCCCCTTCCCCATACCTTCTCCATGCGTCTCTTCTATCTGGCTGTTCCAGAGCTTTGTTCTACTATAATAAGCCAGTAATCTAGTAAGTAAACTGGTTTCCTCTGTTCTGTGAGCTACTCCAGCAAATTCTTTGAACCCAAGGAGGGGATTGTGGAACTTCCAATCTGTAGCTGGTTGGTTAGACGCACAGGGTACAATCTGGACTTGCCATAGGCATATGAGGGCAGTTTTGTAGGGCTGAGCCATTAAACTATGAAATCTGAAGCTATCTCCAGGTAGATAGCATCAAAATTGAGTTAAATTGTAGAACACCGAGCCGGTGTCCAAGAATTGCTTAGACGTGTGGGGAGCCCTCCCCCTCTCCCCAACACACACCCACTGGAATTGGTCCCAGAATCAAATCAGACAAGGTAAGAGGCGTGTCCAGAGTCAGCTCAGACGCAGGAGGAGCTGCGGGGAAAAGTTAGGGATGCCACGGGGATCGTGTGCCGCGGGGAAGTTGGGGATGCCGCGGGGATCGTGTGCCGCGGGGAAGTTGGGGATGCCGCGGGGATCGTGTGGACCCTCTCTCCCATCAGGGGAGCCAGAAAAGGAGTCGGGGCAGGAAGAAGGCTCAGCTCTGCAGAACTGGCATGAGAACGACTTGGTGGGAAGGGGTTCAATGTGAAACGGGATGATCGGGGGAAGGCTCACTGAAGTGAAGTTTGAGCAAAGACCTGAGGAAAGCAAGGGACCAAGCCGTGCAGCACCCTGAGGAAGGAGGGTTCCAGACAGAGGAAGCAGCCAGTGCAAGGGCCATGAGGCAGGAATGTACCTAGGGTGTCTGGGGAGGAGCAAGGGGGCTGGTGAAGCTGGAGCGAAAGGAGCACTGGAGAGGGTTCTAGAAAACAAGGTCAGAGAGGTCATGGGGGTGGGGGCAGATTGTGCGTGAAGTCATTACAAGGCTTCCGACTTTTCCTCTGAGAGAGAAAGGAAGCTATTAGACAGTGATGAGCAGAGAAGGGTCTTGAGATGACAGGTTTAATAGGTTCACTCTTCTCTCTGTTGAAAACAGACTATAAGAAGGCGAGCCTGGAAGCGTGGAGAGAGTTTGCAGACCACTGCTGAAATTCGAACAAGGCAGCCTGGCGCCTCAACCAGGATGGTAAGTAACAAAGGTGGTGAGAAGTGGGTAGGTTCTGGGTGGGAAAAGTCATAGAAAGTTTCATGAAGAGCTGAAAAAAGACAGCAGCAACATACCTCAGTGACTTTCCAGCGTGTGAGGGGGCATGCCCTGCCGATCTAGTAGACCCAGATCAGAGGCACTTTACAAGGCGAAAGAGGGCCTCCCCAGAGGCAGGAGCCCCAGCCCTGCCCCTCAACGGCTGGGCCCCTTGGACAAATCATTTACTTCCTCAGGACTGAAGTTTCCTGACTTACAAACAGGAAGAGCAAATGTCTGACTTGTCCCAAGACCTCAGACTGGACTCTGCTGTCTTAAAATGCCTTCTCATTCTGAGATCTCTGATTTTGGTTCAATCTGAGAGGCCACGTCAAATCCAGACCTTGTTCTTGGAACACATAAATAGTGCTGAACTCTTATTTCTCCTCCCTTGGACTTTCCTCTGCCTACAGGACTTACGCTTGACTTGCTTCTGACGGTGGTGGCCTCCAAGTGGGGTGAGGGAGAAATCCCCATGTGGGTTTTGACCGTTGCAGCGGTTCACCCTGACAAGGCTGAGCAGAGCACCACACGGGGCATGGATGCCGGTCACAGTGCCTCCACAGCATTTTAATTTATTTTTTATTTTTTAATTTTTTTTGCGGTACGTGGGCCTCTCACTGTTGTGGCCTCTCCCGTTGCGGAGCACAGGATCCGGAAGCACAGGCTCAGAGGCCATGGCTCACCGGCCCAGCCGCTCCGCAGCATGTGGGATCTTCCCGGACCGGGGCATGAACCCGTGTCCCCTGCATCGGCAGGCGGACTCTCAACCACCGCACCAGCAGGGAAGCCCTCCACAGCATTTTGGCTCAGAACAGGTACAAAATTTAGACGACATGTGCTACCCTTGTCACTGCAGACAGCCTAAAGCACTGGACCAGGGAAAACAGAAAACGTCAGCCACCACACAATCCAGGGCAATAAGGAAGGTCACAGGTCAGACCATCCAGGCTGAGCAGCACATAACAGAGCTTTAATAAATAAACCCCTCATCTCAACCTGATTAGCACCATAAAAAATACTGTGTTTAGGAACTGGGAAATGGTTAATGAAGCTACACTCCTCTTTTTTGTAATAGGTTGCAGCTATTTGTATGAGGCAGGCACTCAAATTAGGCTGTCCCATCCAAGTCACTTCTTTTCTCGCAGCCCCTCCTGGGCAGGTCACTGGCCACAGGACTTCCTCCCTGCCCCAGATCCTGACCACAGCTGAGCCAGGAGTTTGGAAGGGGGCGGCACCAGAGGCTGAGCTCAGCCTCTGCTGGTACTCCAGGGATAAATATAGGAAAGCTGGGGCTGGCACAGCAGTATTTGGGACAGGCGTGAGCGCTAGAGGGCTGTTAACTAGACAAAAACAGGCAGGCAAAGTGGAATGGGAAGTTGCGTGGCCCCAGGGAAACTGACAGGATAAGCTCAGGCTGATCAGTTCTCAGCCCCAGTCCCTTCAGTCCTCCTGGAAGTTCCTGCCCTTGGTTACTTGGAGTAGCTTGCACCTGCCCAGCAAATACCTCTTTCTTGCTTAATATCATTTGGATAAAATTTATCAATTAAGATTATACAGCCCTTTGGGAAAATTAAGCTAGAAAATAAACAGTGTTGAACTGCATGAATCCTGTGTTTGTCATCCTGAGAAACAAGTATGTATATATGAACACCGGCTGGAAGGAAAATATAAAAACACCTCTGGTAGTTTCAGGAGTGATTATTTTCCTATATTTTTTCAAATGTCCACAAAATTGTTAAGATGTTCATAATTTTTGAAAGAAGTTATTGGGCAATCAAATAAATATTTAATATTTGAGCTATAACAGCCCCCCCCCCCGGAATAATTTCCAAAATAACAGGCAGCATAACTGATAAATAATCATAAATTATACCATTATCCTGGAGTTGACACAAATGAGTGTGTTCCTAAAAAAGTTGAAGGAAAAAGGTCACGTGAGATTGTGTCATTAGTTCTTTCATATTTTTATGAAAGGAACAAACGCATAGTGGATTCACCTGTCGGTTAATTTTAGATTTTTTTCACATTAGTTATTCACAGGCAGGGCCCTCCTGCAGTGTGGACACAACACTGGGTGTTCTCAGAGAGCTCAAACACTTGAGCTTGTAACCTTGAACTTGAGCTTATAAACTCAAACACTTGTAACCCAGAAAAGTGTTCAACCCTGAATTCACTGTGTACCTGTAAGACGGCAGACACAATTCCGGAACCTCTCCCCCTTGTGACCACCCCAACTCTGGACAGCAGCTTTAGTTTCCTGTGTTGATCAGCCTAACTTATGCTTTCAGCACAGATCTTGCCAGCAACCTTCTTGGGTTCCCAAACCCCCATAACTGGACAGGCTCTTGGTACCACTGAAGGTTAGTACTGCCAGGAACCGGGGTCAGCTGGTCCAACCTGTTCATTTTACAGATGAGAGCACTGTGTCCAGAGAGGAGAAAGGACTGCTTGCTTCAGAGCATCACACACATTTGCCGATGAGTGCAAAGGGCTTGCAGTCCTTCCAGCTAATCTGGAGTTGGCTTTGACATCACCCAGGGAGGGAAGTTAGAGCCTTGGCAATGAGCATGGCCTCAGAGTTGTCCTCTGGCGGTCTTCTCTGAACACTGTTCAAGGAAAGCTCTTGTCTGAAACTGCTTGCTTCCCATCCTTGAGATGTCACAGACACCTGTCCAGGAAAGCCTGCAGGAGTCCTTACCTCCAGAGGGTGTGCCAGCGACTCTCCTAAGGAATTTAACCCACTCCTCCATTTCCGCCTGGGAGCTGGCCATGAGGACATAGGAGTCCTGTCCCGTGCGACTCTGGTCACATGAGGCTGGAGGAAGAAGTAACACTAATGAAGGTCATACATTGGTCAGGGGCCAGAGCAAGGGGCAGTGAGGGGAAGCTGAGCCTGAATTGCTTCTTTGGTCCAATTAAACAAGCAGTCAAACAGCACAAAAGCATCTACTTTTCCTCAGCAGAACTGAGTATCTACGCACCTTTATTGTTCTTGCTGGAGCTCTAATCCTATACACAAATCATTGAACTCAGTGGTTTGCAGCTGAGATGATTTGGGCTGAGATCTGTCCCCATGGAGGACAGAAGCCATTTCCTATCAAAAATTAAGAGGAAGCTCAAGGGGCAGTGTCAGGACAAGAGGAGACAGGCTCAGCCCATACGATTCTGAAACCTAAGTCCATCACGCCAATCATGGATAACTTCCTAGGCTACCCTGAGCTCAGCTGTGGGGTTGGAGGAGGGAACAGCAACTCAGGAGGGAGGGGCAACGAGCACTGTGTGCCTTTCTTATGAATCGGTGCCTCCTGTTCAGGATTACTGCCCTCCTGCCTGCATGAAGACATTGCAGATGTTAGGCTCTCGATACATAGCTGATGGACAAATGAAGTTTGTTAGGACATTCTTTATTGTTTTCACTTTAAACCCAAGTTTGCAGACAGACATCTGTAGTATGTCTTGGGTTGGTGTTATCAAATGGACAAAAGGGTGGAAGAAAAAACAAGGGGGCAGAGTGGGGAGAGGAGACCAAGAGAAAGAATAAGAGAAAGTGACAAAGAGAGAAAAATAGGGAGAAAGGAGAGGAGAGGGAAAAGGGGCACATCAAACATAGGCCTTACAAAGTGCAAGAAAATAACAGCAATCCCTTTCAATTACAGGATACTCTTAAATCTCACATTGCTTTAGGGGACATCAAGCCATTCTTCTCAAAATATCAGGACATTTCCTTCAAAAAGAGCCTGTTTTGCTACCATATGACCCAGCAATTCCACTCCTGGGTATTTATCTGAAAAAACCAAAAACACTAATTTGAAAAGATACATGCACCCCGATGTTCATAGCATTATTTGCAATTCCCAAGATATGGAAGCAACCTAAGTGCCCATTAACAGATGAATGGATAAAGAAGATGTGGTATATATGTATATATATATATATATACAATGGAATATTACTTAGCCCCAAAAAAGAACAAAATTTTGCCATTTGCAGCAACATGGATGAACTTGGAGGGCATCATGCTAAGTGAAATAAGTCAGAGAAAGACAAATACCATATGATATCGCTTATATGTGATATCTAAAAAATACGACAAACTAGTGAATGTAACAAAAAAAGAAGCAAACTCACAGATATAGAGAACAAACTAGTGGTTACCAGTGGGGAGAGGGATGGGGGAGGGGCAATAGAGGGGTAGGGGATTAAGAGGAACAAACTATTGGGTATAAAATAAGCTACAGGGATATATTGCACAACATGGGAATATACCCAATATTTTATAATAACTATAAACGGGGTAGAACCTTCAAAAACTGTGAATTGTACACCTGTAATTTATATAATACTGTACCTCAACTAAACTTCAACTTTTAAAAAGCTTTAAAAAAAGACCCTGGGCTTCCCTGGCGGCGCAGTGGTTGAGAGTCTGCCTGCACATGCAGGGGACGCAGGTTTGTGCCCCGGTCCGGGAAGATCCCACATGCCGCGGAGCGGATAGGCCCGTGAGCCATGGCCGCTGGGCCTGCGCGTCCGGAGCCTATGCTCCGCAACGGGAGAGGCCACAACAGTGAGAGGCCCGCGAACCGCAAAAAAAAAAAAAAAAAAAAAAAAAAAAAGACCCTGTACTAGCTGCCCACTTGGGCCCAAACCTGTATTTTCTTACATAGCAACAAAATACTTTCAAAGTGCCTTTGTTTTCAGTCTCTTCAACCCATCTTAATATTACCCAGCCTCACTTTCTTTTACACTTTGAGACAACCTGATTCTGAATCCACCTTATCACTGGGTCATCAGCTCTTCTGCCCAGAAGGGTCAGCCCATGGAAGTGCTGGTCACTGAGGAATATCCTGAAACTGGGTGTTTCCAGAAGTAAGATGGGCAGTAAAAAGCCCTCAGGGCAGAACTAAAGAATCCCATAGGAAACACAACATCCTTTAGTAATAGAGTAGGGCTCTAGTATCATTTCCGCGCTACAAATGGAAATGAAGCCCAGAGATGCAAAGGGCCTTGCCCATTGGTACCCAGTAAGTTACCACCAAACTCAAGGCAAGGCCATGGATCTTTCTCCCAATAGTTTCCACCAGCTCATACTGATTCAAATTTGACCTTGGCCAAAATTTATCTGGTATCCTTCTCTGCCATGCCTACACTCCAGTCTATGACGTTATCAAGAACATGGCTTCTCAGTTTTCTCTCATTCCTGAGAGATTCCTTTAGTTCCGTCATGGCAACACCACTGAGAAATATCCAGCTCTCAGGATGTTCCTCAATGACCAGGGCTTCCATGGACTGATCTTTCTGATTAGAAGAGCTGACGACAAGATGGATTGAGAAGTCAGTCATCCCAAAGGGTAAGGAAGGTGAGGCTGAGTAATATTAAGATAGATTCGAGAGACAAGAACCAAAGGGAATTTGAAAATTCTTTGTTACCCTTCAAAACAATGAAAGTCTGGGCACATTGGGGTGCGAGGAAGAGCTGTCTTTGAGGGAAACTGCCTGACATTAACACAAAGCCCATGAACAGCATCTCTGCCCTCAGGCACATACTTTCTCTGACTGAAACAGTCTGTTCAGCCTGTGTCACCTATTGGGCTTCCACCCCTGTCAGAAAGGAACCTCCCTTTTCTTCCCCTGCCTAAGGAACTCCTATCCATCCTATAAAACCCAGTGCAAATGTTATCTTCTCTAAGGACCCTTCCTTCAAACCTCCCCCTCCCACTCCAGGTGGAGTGCGGATTCACTTTTCTAAATCTCTTAACATCCTATCATCACCTTTATCACAGCAGTAGCTAAATTATCCTGAACATCGGTTTCCTTATCATTAAAATTGAATTTATTACTTAATACGTCCAAAGCTAAAGCCCTGATCTTCCACCCAAAACTGGTCACATGCACAAATCTCAGGAGAGCCATCGTTCCTGTTGTTTGCGTGAAAACCTTAGAATCAATCTTGACTTCTCTTTCCTACATCCAATCCATCAGCAAATGAAGCCCTCTCTAGCTTCAAAATGTGTCCAGAAATTGATCATTTCTCACCCCCTTCACTGTTACTATCTCTGACTTGGATAATTACAATAACCTCCTCACTGGCATTCCT